GGCGGCGTCTTCAGACAGTTTCGAGAGGTAAAACTAGAAAGTGTTTTATTGTTTTAACACCCCCAATAAAAGTGAGCAAGGCATGTTTTTATTTTACAAAGAGCCACCTTCTGTTTCACGATATCGGCACGTTTGATGTCTGTACACAATAGAGTAAAGAGATAAAGCATGAATAGTATTATACATTTGTTTGTGTTTTGCTATGAATTGTTAAGTATTGTTACCTATAGTACCTACTTGTTTTGAGTTTTGAGCTCTGAGATAAAATATTATTGTCTGTACATTTTCTGCTTAGGATATATCTACGTGAAGAGTAGTGTAGTATTTATAATTTATTTATTAATAATGGAAATAAGAAGTGATCAGGTGAGACAGTATCCTAGTTGTGACACGGTTTCTCATTAGAGCTGGTATGAAATATATAGATACGTACCTATATTGTACTTGTAACTTAATTTTAAATGCTGTACTTTTGTAAAAGGTAAATAAATATTTATAACTATTATTACTATTTTACGAGTAATAGTTTTTTAAATTGAAGCTGGAAATAAAGTTCTATAGGGATCAACTATAGAAAGACAGATGTCAGATTTTTGGCAAACCATAAATTAGAGAAAAAGATCCAAAGTAAATATGAACAGAAAGCCCCGCGGCAAAGCCAAATACAATATTCTGAATAAGCCATCGATTGATTTCTGAAGATTAATGGTAGCACATTGTCAGCGCCACAGTATGACGAAAACGTTAGCCAAATTTGCGCAACAAAAATGTATTTTATACCCTATAATATAAGAGCTAACAAATTTTATTTTTGAATTCTTTTTGAGCTGACAGTCGAATGAATGATGTTTTGAGTTGCAATCAAATTTGAACATTACATTTCACGTTTACAGTTCCAAATAGCATTCTGGAAAATTTATGGAGTTAGGATATTTTGGTTTGAAGTGGAGTCTTTTAGGGTCCGATTGAAATTGATTTTGGAATTCAGTGTGAAATTGAAATAAAAGTTTTTTATTTGAACATATTTGCAGTAACAGAAGAGTTTGCTGTAGGGTTAATCTGATTAAATATTTATTTGTTTGACTTTAAAAATATATAATATTTGGCATTCAATTTAACTCATTCGGTCACATTAAAGTAATGGGTTAAGTATATATTTGATGTATTAATATTTGGATCCAACAAGTTATAACAAATTGATTTTAAATTATGCATATTATTCAGCCTGAATAATTTATTCCATAGCTACCTGTCTAATACGTTTTTTTACAGTTATTGTAATACTTCTGTAAAATGTCATGTTGATAGATATTATCTTACATTTGTAGCTTACCTCTTTCAACATTAATTTTTTTCATTTCATATTTTTTTTTCTTATTTTTTTTCAGACATATTTTCAGTACATTTTTGTAACTAAATGTACTTTAAAACTATGTTAATTCTTAACTATTAGTAATGATTAGTTCTCTCGGCAAATATTCTCACGAGAAGACTATCTAATCTATTTACAAATATGTTTAGGATACTGTTGCCACTCCCTACGTTCTATGTAACTAGTATAATTTAGTTTAATTATGATTGTACTAATGACCGCGTGGTCCGGAAATAGAATAGGCCATCCCTTGTTTTCCTGTGGGTGTCGTAAGAGACTAAGAGAACTTAATGATAGAGGTATGGGCAGCAGCATTCCTCTTAAAACCTCTCTAAAAGTCTAACTGCGTTGCTAAACCGCCTACCAAGCGTGGTAACAACTGGCAACACTCCCCTTATGGGTAAGGCTTATGTTCAGTAGTAGACAATTAATGGCTGAAATGATGATGATTGTACTACCTAATATAAGTTTTGATTTATTATCATTTACGTGTCAAAACCTTAAAAACTTCTTCAAAGAATAATGGTAAAAATTACTTTAGATTTTACTAATTACTTTCAATATAAATACAATTTAAATTATTCGATTACTATGAAATATAGTAGGTATTTGTAAGATATATTTATGATATTGAGATACATGCACAATTTTTTTAATCATTTGTTTTTCAATTACAATAAATTACTTTACTTTCTTTCACGTTTACAATATGATTTAAAATTTTATTTCGCAAAAATTTGCAACACACAATTAAACTCCATTGTATAGAGTATAGAAACAATAATCAAATTCAGTTTACAATGCCGTTTAATATATGAAACAGTAAACGTAAATTGTATGAACATATAATAAATAATTATATATAAAGTTAATTCAAGGTATAATAAGTACCAACATGAATATCAGAATATAAACGCGTATACACAATGCTTTTAGTGGGTGTGTGTATGTCCAACAGATGTGAGCTGACTCGGTTGGGAGGTGTGCGCGTTTGACAAAGAATGCATATGTCACCGCGGCTGCGGCGGCTGGAGCGCGGAATTGAAGCTTTGCTATTGGGCATTCAATACTGCGAACGTTGCATGATAGCGCACTTTCTTTGAAGTCGGTATTAGGTACTTGTATGTGTACACTACCTATCGTACCCACCCAAATATAATTTATACACATGTATCATACGATGTGATCATGTTTCGTGTATGGATCTATCTAAGTACATGTATAGATTTATTTTAGATATTATAGAATACTTTTCATGACAAAACTGCAGGATACAGTTGCGGTATTTAGTACATAATTTAAGATTTTGGTTCGTAAAATTCAGCGAATAATTCTATCGCGAAAAAATTAATATGGGATCAATACAGATATTGTATTGATTGAAATATTTACAATACTAGATTGAACCCCATCGATCGCATAAGAATAATCAAAATCGGAGCAGAATTGATAAGGGTATCGTGTAACATATAGGTATATAAAAAGTAGAGATGAATTGAGAACTTTTTGTTTTTTGAAGTCAATTAATAGCTAAGTTCATACAAAAAATATACCAATAATTGTGACTATTGTATTTTCTAGACATCTGCAGACACAGGTATTACTGTATCGATTTGAATGAACGTGGTAATATGTTCAGAATATTAAAATCGTAAATAGACATATCACCTATAGTATGTATAGTGTAAGATCATCAGAAATTTCATAAAGTCACATGTATCTATTACCTACTTATTTGTAAATTTAAATTGTTTCATTACTATCCTGAGTAATATTATAAGTGTGGAAATGAGTGCGTTTGTCAACCGACAATCGTTACCTCACCACTCCGTCACCTATAAACCGATTTAATTTTTTTTTATTTAATCAATTGTTAATAAGTGATCCAGAAGTTTGGCCTTTAAATCAAAATAATTGGTTTTGTCACGACTGAAATCGACTTTTTTTTTTGGATCACATATGTCTGGTAATTTGGTCGAAGACTAAGTATGGAAAAGTTTTCAGTAAACAAAACATTTTGTTTACTGAAAAAAATTGGGAGAAAATTAAAACTTATACTTATTGTAGCTGACAACTAGACCAACTTTTTTTTATTTTTCATTTTAAATTTCCATTCTATTAAAATTGCCACAGTTTTATTTTTCCTTGACTACACCTATAATAAATATATTAAGAAATTGGAAATAGAATTAATTTTATTTTGTAACATCGTGGATTTTATAATCGCAACAGGCAGTGACGCACGCGCATAGTCGCATGCTGTGCTATTGTCGTAACCCCCGATTGAACTGTTATACTGCATGAGTTATGTTCTCAGTAGATGCAGATTATACAGGCTGATTTTATTACGCAATTGTTAGATTATGTTTATTGAGGAAAATTTCTGTTTAAAATGTAAAATTTTGTTATATTTATTTATTATAGTTTAGGTTCATTTTGTTTGTTATTACTACTATGTATTTTACTATTTAACACATAAGTGGCTTGTTTTAATTTTTTTTAATTAAAATTTCACCATCCTTTAATATATGTAGTGTTGAAAACAATGGAATAAAATGTTTGTATAAGGCTACCATACAAACAGACGATAATAGATATTTATGTTATTTAAATTTATCAAAATATCCATAAAGGACCTTATCTTTAGTTTACGAACAAAAATTATAATCTATTTTTTTATAATGGAATAGTAAACAAGCTAATGACCCGCCTAATGAAAAGTAATTAAATTTAATTGAGTGGTTGACTAATATCATATAAGTCAATAATTAAAGAATTTATACTTGCTTTCGCCCGCGACTTCATCCGCGTGGCCGAGACATATTTACTGACTGCGGTAAAAAGTAGCCTCCACCCCATATAGTATGGATTGTGGTCACCCATCCTAGTCCAAACCACGGCCGGGGTTGCTTAACTTGCAAAAGCACTACGATTTTATAGCATTTTATATATGATTCTTTAGATTGATATACTTTTTTATTGGCAGAATAATTGGCAACCACAGTTAAGCTTTTACTGATGTCTTAAGAGGGATATTGCTGCCCATTCCACTACCATTAAATCAAAGAATACAAGTCATCTATTTATTTTATTTTTAAAATTTTATTAAAGTTACTTCGATGGACACACAAATATAAACATTTTTTATATTGAAATAAAAACTAAATAAATTATATCCTAACAGACTAGTTCAAATAATATCTAGTTTGAATAGAAATAATCTTCCTGTATAACTAATATCGACAATACAACACAGTGACACACATACGTGGCTTTACTCTAAACCAATAATAGAATAAAATCAATCTATACCACCCTCTCATAAGCACACAAACGTATTAATCAATGATTTACCTATATGAATACTCACCCACACATACTCACAATGTTAGGAATATCGGTGATGTAAACATTTGTTGGATATTTGCAAAGCATACTGATAGACGAACATTATATTTCTATTCTTATCACACGCACTATTGCAAATGAGTCAAGTCAATGAGAGAAAAGGACAGCGAACCCGGTTTTACAACTTCGTAGTGGGACAATAGCGACGCTATTGTTAAAAGTACCCCAAACTTTTTTTAGGTCACATAAAAGTATTACATTTGTTAGGGACATACCGCTATGCATTTACTGCATTCGTTTCGCAGTCGATGTAGGAGATGGGTGATAGTCTCCCACGCAGTGCTAATTTCGTTGAAAAGATCTATGAAAATAGAAGTTTATCCTGATGTTGTCAATAGCTGCAAGTAATCGTGCAAATAAAATGTGGAATAATAGTAATGAAGTGAACAGTGAAAATGCTCGGCAAAAACATTATGATTACAAATATCCCATAGTACCTAACAACGGTTATAATGTTCCAAATAACTCTTATGCTCCAAACTGTGAATATTCCAATTCGTGTGTTGGTTATAGTGTTAATGTTTATGAAAATAATAACCTGAGTAACACTGCGGTGAAGACTGAATCGTGTAATTGGCCAAATTACCCAGCAAATTATATGAATGAAAATAATACAAATTTGGAAATAGACAACAGGTGGAGAGAAATGCCTTACTGTACGCAGCAGTATGTTGATAATTATAACTATGATCAAAGAGGAAATCAACTTATAACACAAAATGGACAGATAATCAAAAATGAAGATGCCAGACACGTCATTTCTCCTGGTCAATGTAGCATTTCAGATACCAGCTATGGATCAAGTGCATCGAGTCATTTGAATCCGGCGACACCTGAAATTGATGATTCTCCTAATCTCCGATCGTTACTAACAAAATCACAGCCCAAAAACTCCATGCCTTGTATTATTGAATCTGATAAGGTTTATTCGCAAGAAATTCAACAGATGATGTTCCCCAATCACGAGATTACTGACTGGGGAAAAAACAAAAGGACATCAAAAAGGAAAGAACGTAATTTGTCGCAATTTCATGGTGGATACAAGAGCAGCGAGGGTCAGACGTCTGTTCAGACTGAAGGTACTATGGGTGGAGCATCAGTCGCAAAAGAAGGCGCACCGTTATCGAAGAAGCGGGCGGCGGAGCCCTGTCAGGATGTGACGAGGGTCGCACCAGGCGGGGACAATGCGAATTACACCGAGAACAAAATGGCCGGTGCAACCGATGCGCAAGCAATCTATCCATGGATGAAAGCTGTCGGTGGTAAATATTTTTTTTAATATTTAAAAACTTTAATATAATTTGTTGATTTTACAGATGATACGTGATAGTACTTTGTGACATAAAATACGTATTGTCAATATTTTATTTCAGTTTTTTTTTTTATTTATTTATAATTTTTTGTATGCAATTTAGAATGGCAAACAAGCTGACGGCCTACCTGATAGGCATAACTGAGTCTATCGTTTCGCCCATGATACTCCAACCCCCCATGCGTTGCTATTTCTGAAAACTAAAGTGTTATTCCTCTGTACACGGTAAATTCACTGCCATATACCACCCTTCTAACTAAAACAATACAACTGCTTCATGGTAGAAATACAAATGGGACAGAGGTGCCCAAGCAAACGACTTTTGTACAAAGTCCCTCTCTGGTAAAATATCAATAGGAATATATGCTACAAATATAAAATAGCGAAATAAAAACCCATTTGGGGTTTAATCGTAACTATCTCAATATTTATAATATTTTCTCGCGCAGTCACTTATTTGGTAGTGGGACTTTATATTTTTTTACATTTTTTGTGAATTTTTATATACTAGCTTTTACTCGCGAGTTCGCGTGACTGGCATATGTTTACTAAATAAGGTAAAAGTAGCATATAGCCTTATTTATTTCATATTATCAATAAACAAACTTACTTTCATATTTATAATATTAGTAATATCTGTCTGAATTTAATAATGAAACATATTTCATCTTTAAATTCAGGCTGAATATATTTAGGCAGGTAAATTAAAAATTGCAGATTATATGAACAAGTGCGCTTAGTCATCTTACGTTGTTGTATTTCTCGCCTACAACTGACATTTTCATTTTGTTGAAATACTGTCTTATCCCTAATGATAAGATATTATGGTATGGAATATTTTCTACAAAAATGTGTGAATTATAACTATTTTTACAGGTGAGAAAAAAAAAGAAGGTTCGAAAAGGACAAGACAAACATACACACGTTTCCAAACGTTAGAGTTGGAAAAGGAGTTTCACTTCAATAGTTATTTGTCGAGACGACGGAGAATAGAGGTATCACATGTGCTGGGCTTATCAGAAAGACAAATAAAGATATGGTTCCAAAATAGAAGGATGAAAGCGAAGAAAGATGGAAAATTTAGGTCATCAGACCCATACACAACTGAAGAAGTAGGTATGACGAAATTACCAAATTTACCGGACTATTTGGACACAATACAGCAGATGCCAGCTTTTATTGAATATCCTAATTATTCTAAGGGTTCCGTACCCGCCCCCCATACGACGCAAATCACGAATGGCATGACAGAAAATTGTTTAATGTCTTATGGAGGGATAATTCCTAAAATGTAACCGCCAGGGTTACATTTATTAAAATTTTTGAAAAAGATAGTATTTATGGGTACTTGTATGTATAACATATATGAAAGTTTTTGTTACAGTTAAAAATTTGGATCTGGTGTTAATGTGTTATTAATATTAATTCAATTTATGTGTATATTTACGAATAGATGTAAGGAAATATTTTATAATAATTATAATCACCTTTGTGGTATAAAAAAATGTAATTTGATATTTTTTATATCAATTAGAGCTTAATAATACAAAATAATTTTATAAACTATCTTTAATCAATTCAATCAGCCTCCATAAATAAGTGACTACACATAATGTTTTGACAACTGTCTATAGTGTGTAGAACTCGACAAGTTTGCAACGTAATCCTCCGACAAACCTATTTTAGTTATTGAGGACTTATTAAGTGTTTATGTATAATATTAAATTAAATATACATATATTTTTGTGTACATGTTTATGGAATCACATATAGCTAAGTATCACTTTGTTAATTAACGAGATTAGTATATAATCAAATAAGTACGTATGTTTTTTACTTTTTAATGTTTGTAAATTGTAGATAATAGTCACTTTTAAAAATAATATTTACATAATGTGCCCAAAAACCATTTGCCATCAATGAAATGTAATTCTAAGGGCCTACGCAGTCGGCGCGTTTTATATGCGCATATGATGTACCGGGATCGAAATGAGATTTAATGTTTAAATCGATACAAATATAATAATCTGCTTTTTTACCACCACATGTTTATGAAACGCACATCGTGTTTGCAGATAAAATGTACCGTCTGCTTGATAGGCTACCGCTTTATATGAACTAAGATGAACAGTTCCTATGTAATATTAAGGTTCATTATTTGTGATTTTTTATATTTCTCTAGTCAAATGGAGCTAAAAATAATAAAAAGGAATTTTGATTCCAGATTACTACTTTGTTTTTATTTTAGCTTTAGTTGTTTCCCAATAACTCTTAGTATTTCATTCTTATAAGAAATATGCAAATATCTTTACTAATCTTCACATTTCTAATGTTATTACCTTTCATCAGTGACATCATCCACATGACCGGGATATGTTTATTGGATAGAATAAAAAGTAGCCTATACCCTTTTCCATCCCATATACTACGTGTATACCAAATTTCATGGTAATTGGTTGAGTCATTAAGGTTATACAAGGTAACAAACAAATAAACTCACTTTCACATTTATAATAATACTAAAAGGTTCAATGAAATTTTTTGTAAAAACTCAATCATACTTAAAAGCTAAACAGATTTAAATGAAATTTGGTACACTTGTGTACTATATTCTAGATTAAACATTACTTTTTATTCTAATTAATCTACACTAATATTATAAAGAGTTTTGTGTGTATGTATGTAATAAATAAACTCAAAAATAACTTTGCCGATTTCAAAAATTCTTTCACCATTAGAAAGCTACATTCACCTTGAGTAACATAGGCTTATTTATTGCTAGAAAAGATTAGGAATTCTTATTAAAACTTTAGTAACGTAAATCAAGCTGTAAAAAAAATGCTATAAAATATGTGTCACGTGCGCTGCGGATACTGTTGGTGATAGAACAAAAGTATGTTCTACGACGTTGAAGAAAATATCAATTGCTACAAAAATACTTCGCGATACAATATGTCCAACTATTATTATTATGTCACAATAATAACTTTTTAAAATGTTGTATAAATGTCCACCCGTGCGAAGCCGGGACGGGCCGCTAGTTATTGATAAACAGCGGGATGTGACTGTGAATGTGCTTATTATTTTTATCTTAGTATCTTTATAGCTCGATCAGTTGTCGTAAAATTTACATACATAGTATTTAACCTTAGATTATATGAGCATAGGTACCTAGAGTATATAAACACTTGACAAAATACACATCACTTTTTTCATTCATGCGTGCGTAAATAGGGTTATTATAATGTGCATTAACTACTCAGTTTATAGGAAAAATTATATTGCAAGGTTAAGTTGAAAAATAAAAACAATACAAAATAGTTTACAAATATTTGAAAGAACAAAATAGATAAAGCATAAAAATTAGTATTAATGCTTATCTATACTGAATACTTTGATTTATATACATATGAGTATAGACATATTTTTGTCTTTTTGTTATTGAAAATGACTACCGTATTAACTAATATTATGTATAATTTGTAAGCAATATGTATTGTAGAACGTTCAGATTAGGACAAATATGGAATACTGTTCTTATCTATAGGCAGAAGCGCTACAGTACTAGCTACTTCCGTTGGACCACATTCAAATTTGAATTCAAATTGACGATCAGCGCCTTACTATCCGATTCGACTCACTGAAACTGCGTAGAGATATCTCTGTGCATATTTTATCGTATTTATCATGGGGAGTGCTCTGAGGAATTGTTCAAAATACTCCCCAATTCAAATTTAAAAATCTTGATCTCGGAAATTTTTTATTTAATTATTTGGAACACTGAAAAAATGGCGGGATTTGTTTCGATTTGCATACATAAATGTAGTCTTAAATAAATGTTTGCCACTCGATGCTCTATTTACATAATTTAAGTATTTAGCATAGCCAAGGAATATTGATTTCTTTTTCATATATATAATATAAATCCATTCCATTATGGTTAATTATTATTATTACTCACGTGAATGTAGCCACGGACATAGCTAACGCTAATATTGAAGCAATAGATACGATTAAGCTTTTTTGGTCTTACTAATAAATAATACTTATAATATTTTGTAGTGTTATATTAAAAAATGTGAACTTAACACACCATGAGTTGATTTGTTAAAAGTTTACACTTCTTAAAATAACCGTTAACAATGCAACCCTTTCTGTGTCCAACAAGGCCGAAAAAGCCCTGCCGCTTAAATATTGCTGTAGTAGCAAGGTTATTGTACCCAAGGGAGTACTTAATAGCATTATACACAAATGTTGACAGTTTGCCAGCAAATTTTGACATATTGTGACAAGTTATTGGATTTGGCTCTTCAGCGCTTTGAGAAGTATTTTGCTTTGTAATCCTGTAAAGGGTTTAGACCACCTTCTTAATATTATTTAAGTAAATAGTAAATATTTGTATAATTTTGTGACCTAAATATAGTAACTATTTATGCCACTACATTTTAGTACTATAAAATGGTTTTAATTAACTAAACTTAGGGAAGTACCTATTAAATAGTAAGCAGATAATTATTATGATTTATAGACTAAGCATACATAGGGACAGACAGGCGATTTTGTTTTATACTATGTAACGACAGTGATACGAAACGGAAAACAGCATTATCTTGTCGATTAAGTTACTAAGACAAAGTAACTACTATTGTTATTATTTGCATTATTTTAGTTTCCTATTCTTTTTACATAAAATATATTGTTTTCAGTATATTTATTATTAAGAAGCACATTCTGTCATTTTATGTACCTATTAAAATGTGTAAGTAATGTAAAGTGTCCTACCAATCAAAAAAATAAATCTATTGTTTATTGACTAACTTAACAAATAAAAATAACATGGGTTAGGTAAATATAACATTATTAAATATTATCCACTTTTGACTTACCATCCTGATCTAATTACCCGAAGTCTCCGTTTAACACTTGTACAAGATAAACATAATACGACGTTTGTCAGAAATATTATAATTTTCTTGGGCCTTATCTTTATAAAATGATTAACATAAATAAAATATCAATCTTCGCCCTTAATAGATATATGTGTAAAGAAACTGTTACTCAGTGGCTTCAGCAGCTTAACTATGATAAAATTGAAAAATTAATTCATCCTACCTTCTAAAATCATCATTCTTTAATTTTTTTTTTCTCTCTGTCTTAGTATCCATAATTGCCTTGCCTTTGCTTACTAATGTATATCCAGTGACTGATTGTTATTTTAATATTTAAATATCATATAACTATGTGTGTATACGTGTTTTCATGTGTACGTATTGTATTTGAATCTACGACGCCAAACAATTTTCGAGTTTTCCATTGTAAGTATTAACATAAATTATTTCATGCCAGTGACTTGTGATATGGGTTTTTCGAATACCTAGTTCAGGCATCAGTTCTCTACAACTTTAATGTATCTATGTCATTATTTTAAGTGTTGCATTGTACTAAAAAAAGTTGTGAGATTATTAAATAAACATTATTGTTATTATTTTGCCATTCAGTAGGTACTGTTTAATATTACTAATTTACAGGACATTATAACTATACAGGTACTTTTTCATGTACATATGTATTTTTAAAAGGAAATAAAATTATTTTTAAAAGAAGCTCATAGGCTATCTATATTGATCGAGTGTCTCCATAGAAATGCTTTATTAAAAACGAGTTAACGTTTTCATACAATATTGCGTGATAAATAGTTATGAGTGATTATAATTTCTACATTTTTTTATTTAGGTTCTATATTAATTTTGTCTTATAATTTATACATTTTTTTAATGTGTAAACACTCATTTTATTTATTAAAAAATACATCAAGATACATTTTATGCGTAAGTATATACAATACTGATAAAAAAAAAACGCTAATTTAGAAAGATAAATTGTTAGCAATATATATCAGATCGACCTCCACGCGGTTCCTCCTGGAAAATATCTTGGTTACATGCAATAGGCATTTTTTTATGAAAAAAAAAAAACAATAATTGATTTAGTAGATAAACACATAATTTTTCCTTACTGTTAGCAAATAAAAATTTCGCATCTCAAAATAATTGTTACCTAAACTAGCTAACTTCATGGGATAGCCCTTTGTGACAGGCAGAAGTAAACCCTCGTACCACTTTAATAGAGAATAACAATAGATTACAGTAGAAAGAGATAACGATAGACACCGATGCTGTGAGCGAAAGAGAATGATATAAAACTAACCCTATGGTAAGGGGCGAGTTTTAAACAGCGCATGCTTGGCGGGTATTCATTCAAGATGGCTGCTAGTGTTTAGTTTATATTGCGTTTATTTATTTAAAATATTGTATTAAAATCTATAATTTATTTTAATAATACTCAAATGTATAGTGAACAAAATAATACATAGACGAGACAAGTGTTAATTATGATCAACGGTAAGCTAACATTAAAATAAATGTTTAAGGTTATTATTTTTCACAAGTGTTAAGTAACGGTTTATTTTATTTATTATAGTATAACTGAATAGTTATTAATCAGAGCCCGCCATTACATATGTGAGTTTTACTCACATTACGTAAATATCGAAAGTTTAACTGATCGATCTATTAACGATGTGTCATTTAGAAGTGTGTTTATATTTGAGAGTTTATCTTTTTAATTACGAATACGTAAAGTCATAAATATGAGTATATAAGGTAGCTTTATATGTATAAAGGTAGTATATCTATTTTTATTGCACTAATACATACATAATAATAACAATGTAAGCTAAGATTAACTTATCTCTTAAAGAGATATGATCTTCCAAACTAACTAAAATAAGGGCATAGGAAGTAGTGAGTAGGCAGCAATAGTGCAAAACAGAAATATTAACAACAATAACAACTATTTAGATAATTTACAAATCATTATATTTATATTTGAAATAAACAATGTCAAATAAATGAGAACACAATGATGACAGTCTTGTAATCAATAGCAGTAGTAGGTAATAATCAAGTGAAATTGGAAAGATAAATTGATCGATGGAAATAAGATTGATACTTTATATACTGATTTACATAGGTATTGTTATTAATATAAAATTTATTTATCAAATATTACATTGCTAGAAATTGGAACTAGATATATCGTTTGTAAAATAATTGAGTAAAGTAGATTTAGGAATCTACTTTATTCAAGCTAAGACTACGTAACTTGCATATCTTTAGTTATAATTAAATATTTAGAGAACATTTA